GCCTGGTCGTTGGTGTTCTGTGGTAGTGAGAGGTCCACCTCTCTGGTAGGCTCGTCCACCTTCCCTGCTCCTCTCCCTGGTAGGCTGGTAGTAAGAGGTCCACCTCTGGTAGGCTGGTCCACCTCTGGTAGGCTGGTCCACCTCTCTGGTAGGCTGGTCCACCTTCCCTGCCCCCTCTCCCTGGCACGCATTCCTTACCCCTCTCTCTCTCTGGCACTCATTCCTTCCCTTCACTCTCTGGCACTCCTCTCCCTCTTTCCATCCTCTCTCATGTCTCCGTCTTCAATCTCTCCCTCTCCCATCTTTCCCTCTCTACAGTCTTCCCTGCTATTAATATCATCCCCTGTGTATGATACTCCATCACTGCTTCTCTTCCTCTGACACTCCCCTTCCACTTTCTCTCCTAATTTTTCCTATGGTTTTCCCTCCTCCATCATCTTCCTGCGACTCTGCCTTCCTTCTTCCTCAACTCCCTTAAACTCTCCCTCCCTCCTTCCTCACTTCTTTGTGGTTCTTCCTACTTCTCCCTCACTTCCCTGTGGCTTTCTGTTCCTCCATCACCTCACGATGACTCTCCCTCCTTCCTCCACTTCCCCCCCACCCCCCTACCCTCACACTCTTCTGGTGATAGCAAGATATACTCTCTTAAGTGCTTCCATGTCGGCTCTGCCCAAGCATCTTGAGAAACAACTGCGACATACAGAGAAAAAGGCTGATAGGCACCCAATTCTTCGTCCATCAAGACCACAGTTCATTTATCCATCTGTCTATCCAGTAATCTCCGGTATATCCATTATTTTATTATATACACTAATCTATCCCCCTCATATTTCTGGCCAGTCTTTCATTATCTCATCTCTTTATATACATGATGTTTAGATCTATTTCCTTCACTTCATGCAAGGGATATCAAGGCTGTGTACTGGGTAGGAGGGTGGAGCTCTTAGTACGATAACGTAGTCGAGGAGTGAGGCATCTTATCTTCATCAAGATGAACAGCATTTCATCAGTGTTACCAGCGTTTGAACGCCTACCTGTAAGAAGCGAGACCGTCGCTCTACCGTCCACGTCAAGTTATTGGGCTGAAGTCAAGAGAAACGTTACTAATGGGAGCGGCCTCGAGTATTCTCCTCTCCTACCTGCAGGCGGGTCCCAACGCTTGATTTAAGAAACTGGAATTAAATGCTAATGGCCATTAACTACATGGAATTTAGGAACTTAATTGTATTTTACTGGCAAAGTGGGTCTCGGGGGGTTCTCAGTGTTGGGGCAATACTGACACTTTCTCAGTGTTGGACCGGGGGGAGGGGGGGCAGTGTTACACCACTGCCTAAACGTTTTGACCAGCGGTCGTGTCGAGTCAGAATAATGATGTCATATTATACATACCTGGAGAGGCTTCCCGGAGTTCTCAATCTACTCATCAGACTTGTGATAACTTGGTCCAATGGACTGTTACTTAGAGCGGCCGGCGGCAGGCCCACGTATCACTACAACCCGGTTGGTCCGGCATTTATTGCAGGAACGTTTATGGACTTAGGACACGAAATGGGCTTTGAACATTTACAAAGACCACCTTTGTTCCTGCAATATTTCATCTACTTGCTGGGAGGGTTACTGAAGAGCCGTGTACCTCTGAGGCCGTCAGTGAGTGTGCTCTTCACACGCTCTTTTCTGTATTTCCTTCCATATCGTAAAAATCCAAATAATAATAATAATTACTTATGAAGATACATATAGTGTGATAAATATAAATTTACATCTAGAGATAACAGGGTGCTCGCTGCTTCACTTACTCTGATGAGTTACTTGAAGGAATCTTGGGGAGCATCACAGGCAACTTGTCCATCTGTTGCGAGATGCTGAAACACTCTAGTTGAAATTGGATTTTGTTAGAAGTTGAAATTTGATCTAAGTAGTCTTCAGTCATCAAGCTCAACCACTTGGTGTTGACGGTAGAGCGACGGTCTCGCTTCATACAGGTCGGCGTTCAATTCCTGACCGTCCAAGTGATTGGGCATCATTCCTTCCCCTCGTCGCATCCCAAATCCTTATCCTGACCCAATTCAAGTGCTATATAGTCGTGGTGGCTTGGCTCTTTCTCCTGAAAATTCCATTCCCCTTCTGTCATCATCCGCGTCGTCCCTCCTCATCCTGCGCCCCCTCCCCCATCCTGCGCCCCCCTCCTCCATCCTGCGCCCCCTCCTCCCCCATCCTGCGCCCCCTCCCCAGCCGTCACACGTAACAACCATCGATAAAGGCAGAGAATTAACGAAGTATCTCGTTCACAATCTTCCTCCCTGTCACTCATCCCCTGGGAGCCGTACACCCTTTGTGTTCATCGCCCCATTCCCACACTACTTGTTCACCTCTCCCTCTCCCTAGTCCCCCATCACCACCCATGGCTCCAGGTACCCCATCACCACCCATGGCTGCAGGTACCCCATCACCACCCATGGCTGCAGGTACCCCATCACCACCCATGGCTGCAGGTACCCCATCACCACCCATGGCTGCAGGTACCCCATCACCACCCATGGCTGCAGGTACCCCATCACCACCCATGGCTGCAGGTACCCCATCACCACCCATGGCTGCAGGTACCCCATCACCACCCATGGCTGCAGGTACCCCATCACCACCCATGGCTGCAGGTACCCCATCACCACCCATGGCTGCAGGTACCCCATCACCACCCATGGCTGCAGGTACCCCATCACCACCCATGGCTGCAGGTACCCCATCACCACCCATGGCTGCAGGTACCCCATCACCACCCATGGCTGCAGGTACCCCATCACCACCCATGGCTGCAGGTACCCCATCACCACCCATGGCTGCAGGTATCCCATCACCACCCATGGCTGCAGGTACCCCATCACCACCCATGGCTGCAGGTACCCCATCACCACCCATGGCTGCAGGTACCCCATCACCACCCATGGCTGCAGGTACCCCATCACCACCCATGGCTGCAGGTACCCCATCACCACCCATGGCTGCAGGTACCCCATCACCACCCATGGCTGCAGGTATCCCATCACCACCCATGGCTGCAGGTACCCCATCACCACCCATGGCTGCAGGTACCCCATCACCACCCATGGCTGCAGGTACCCCATCACCACCCATGGCTGCAGGTACCCCATCACCACCCATGGCTGCAGGTACCCCATCACCACCCATGGCTGCAGGTACCCCATCACCACCCATGGCTGCAGGTACCCCATCACCACCCATGGCTGCAGGTACCCCATCACCACCCATGGCTGCAGGTATCCCATCACCACCCATGGCTGCAGGTACCCCATCACCACCCATGGCTGCAGGTACCCCATCACCACCCATGGCTGCAGGTACCCCATCACCACCCATGGCTGCAGGTACCCCATCACCACCCATGGCTGCAGGTACCCCATCACCACCCATGGCTGCAGGTACCCCATCACCACCCATGGCTGCAGGTACCCCATCACCACCCATGGCTGCAGGTACCCCATCACCACCCATGGCTGCAGGTACCCCATCACCACCCATGGCTGCAGGTACCCCATCACCACCCATGGCTGCAGGTACCCCATCACCACCCATGGCTGCAGGTACCCCATCACCACCCATGGCTGCAGGTACCCCATCACCACCCATGGCTGCAGGTACCCCATCACCACCCATGGCTGCAGGTACCCCATCACCACCCATGGCTGCAGGTACCCATCACCACCCATGGCTGCAGGTACCCCATCACCACCCATGGCTGCAGGTACCCCATCACCACCCATGGCTGCAGGTACCCCATCACCACCCATGGCTGCAGGTACCCCATCACCACCCATGGCTGCAGGTACCCCATCACCACCCATGGCTGCAGGTACCCCATCACCACCCATGGCTGCAGGTACCCCATCACCACCCATGGCTGCAGGTACCCCATCACCACCCATCACTCCAGGCACCTCCCATCATGCCTCACGGTCGCAACACTTTCCATTTCCACCTTTTTTTATTTCATCCTTAAACCTCCTCCGTCTCTCCCTCCCACCCCTCTCTCTCTCTCCCCCCTACCCTTTTTCCTCCCCCCCCCTCCCTCACCCCACACTTTATCCCCCTCCCGTTCTCTTTACACACACAGTACCACCCATGTCCCTTGTATCGGTACACACTGAAACCTCACTCCACCAGTAACGCCCCTGGAACGGTATCGGCTGGAGCCAAACAGGTTCCCACGGCCGGTACTCGGTATTATTCAATCAGCTTCAACTTTCCTCCCCTCTCTTCCCGTCCCCCCCTCCTCTTCCCTCCCTCCTCCTTTCCTACCCAGTTGGCTACCACGCTCAATTAGCCCGTAATCTCTCACCAGTTCGGTGCTGGCATTCTGAACATCTCAATTTGTCGAGGTCTTCCCCACGACGCTGATAAGGCTGCCTTGTGAGTGTGTACAGCCGTCCTCTCTACCACCCGGGCTCCCGCACCTAACCCGCCACATGCCCCTCGTAACAGCAGACCATATGCCCTCGCAACAGCAGACCATATGCCCTCGTAACAGCAGACCATATGCCCTCGCAACAGCAGACCATATGCCCTCGCAACAGCAGACCACATGCCCTTGTAACAGCAGACCATATGCCCTCGCAACAGCAGACCACATGCCCTTGTAACAGCAGACCATATGCCCTCGTAACAGCAGACCATATGCCCTCGTAACAGCAGACCATATGCCCTCGTAACAGCAGACCATATGCCCTCGTAACAGCAGACCATATGCCCTCGTAACAGCAGACCATATGCCCTCGTAACAGCAGACCATATGCCCTCGTAACAGCAGACCATATGCCCTCGTAACAGCAGACTATATACCCACGTAACAGCAGACCATATGCCCTCGTAACAGCAGACCATATGCCCTCGTAACAGCAGACCATATGCCCTCGTAACAGCAGACCATATGCCCTCGTAACAGCAGACCATATATGCCCTCGTAACAGCAGACTAAACCCCTTACGTTACAAAAAACCAGACGCCCCTATAACAAATCCGACACCCCCGCCCCATACAGCTGTAGTGAAGGTCGCTTGGTCTGTGGTAAACAATGACGGCGTCTGTTGTGGGGTTATCTTGAGGTTATCTTGAGATGATTTCCGAGCAGAGCTACCCAGTTCCGGGGTAAAGCAGAGCGTCTGAGCTGGGGGGAGGGCGTCGGGGCTTTGGTCTTTTGTAGTGTCTGTGTTGCTCGCCTGTGCTTGTGGGGCGTGTCTGTGTTCCGTGTTCCTCGCCTGTGTTTGTGGCGCGTGTCTGTGTTCCTCGCCTGTGTTTGTGGCGCGTGTCTGTGTTCCTCGGCTGTGTTTGTGGCGCGTGTCTGTGTTCCTCGCCTGTGTTTGTGGGGCGTGTCTGTGTTCCTCGCCTGTGTTTGTGGCGCGTGTCTGTGGTCCTCGTCTGTGTTTGTGGTGCGTGTCTGTGTTCCTCGTCTGTGTTTGTGGCGCGTGTCTGTGTTCCTCGGCTGTGTTTGTGGCGCGTGTCTGTGTTCCTCGTCTGTGTTTGTGGCGCGTGTCTGTGTTCCTCGTCTGTGTTTGTGGCGCGTGTCTGTGTTCCTCGTCTGTGTTTGTGGCGCGTATCTGTGTTCCTCGGCTGTGTTTGTGGGGCGTGTCTGTGTTCCTCGTCTGTGTTTGTGGCGCGTGTCTGTGTTCCTCGGCTGTGTTTGTGGCGCGTGTCTGTGTTCCTCGGCTGTGTTTGTGGCGCGTGTCTGTGTTCCTCGGCTGTGTTTGTGGCGCGTGTCTGTGCGATGGTGTCTTTGCAGCGTTCTGTTCCTCTATGTTTCTCATTGTGTCTGTGTAAAATAAATTTGTTTAGTTTCCCACTTACGCGATCTCTCTGTTTTCTCTGCATCTCCTTATTTTCTCACATTATCTTCCTTATCATCGAATCGTCCTTCTTTTTTCTTTCACTTACTCTCTTAGTCACTCACTAACTCGTTCACTCACTGCTTATCTGATTATCTGTCTCTGTCTATTCTTTTTCACCTTCCCCCCTCTTCCCCTTATCATCACATCTCGCTCCCCTTCTCTCTCTCTCTCTCTCTCTCTCTCTCTCTCTCTCTCTCTCTCTCTCTCTCTCTCTCTCTCTCTCTCTCTCTCTCTCTCTCTCTCTCTCTCTCTCTCTCCCCTCTGAGCACCTCCCTGCTCTATCAAACGCCCCACCTCTACCAACTATTTTTACCAAGGCTGAACGTGAAAACATTGCGTGGACTACAACCTGATTGGTATAGGACCACTCTTTGGCACCAATCACAGAAGAGCCGCTCTGCTCAGCGTCAAGGGGGGAACAATCTGATTGGTTAGGATCGCTTGCAGTCACCAATCACAGAACCGCTTTCATCAAGCCACAAATGGTAATGTCAAGGATGCGATTAAGTCCATAAAGTTATGAATCTCTGCGGACATTTAACCCTTATTGACAGAAATATAAGTTGTCTGGTGGTTGTCTGAACACAACAAATAACGCTAAATTATATTATATTGCTATTCACGTCTAAACATTACAAAATATTGAAATACTTTTATCATTCACTTAAATCACCGAAGATACGAACCCTGACGAACAAATCCACAAGGGTCGTGACGAGGATTCGAACCTGCGTCCGAGAGATTCGAACCCTGGCCTGAAGAATGGCAGACCAATAAGGGCACCACAATAGCACACAGACCCACCAGTAAGTATGCTTTAGTCCTAAACACACATCTGGATAAAAGTCAACTCTTAGTGTATATATACCGAGAAGCGGACACACACATCGATGTATATACCTCTTGCCAGTGTATATATATATATATATATATATATATATATATATATATATATATATATATATATATATATATATATATATATTATACATACCTTTTGCCGGTGTATGTATCCACGTAAAGGCGTTGAATAATACATAATCACACAGCAAAAATAATAAAATATTTGTATATAAAAGAAAAAAAAATATATGAATAAGCAAAACACGTGAATAATTCCACATAAAATTTAAACTCAGTCTTTTTTTTTTAATAAATAAATGATTAAATTATTCAGTTATTAAATAAATTACATTAAAATAAATCAGGTAATGGTTATTATAAAAATGTCTAACTAAAATATATCTGTAAAGTTCATCCCGCGGGAGTTTCGGCGTATTTTCAAAATGCATAAAAAGTCTCTGAATTAAAGATTTTTTTTTGTATATTATATTTCCTCATTATCATATTTTCAGCCAGGTCGAGATTTTAACATTTTCCAGAATATATATATTTTTTTTTTACCCGATTATTTTTTGTAAGTCCTGGTGATGGAATTTAATTACCGTGAATTATGAGAGGGCCGGATTATCATTATCAATAACAGTGATAATAATAGCAGCAGTTACAAGGGTAATGGTAGTTATTATTATTATTATTATTGTGCTTACATAATTACAACACCAAATAACGCGTTATAACTAAAGTGATCATTGATAGTTTCATTGTTCTCTATTTGCAGTATTGGCCTGAAACTAATCACTGTTATTCGCGTTGAACAGGGAGGGGTCACTGTTGAACAGGAAGGGCTGGCCGCGTTCAACAGGGAGGGCTGTCAGGGTTCACCAGGGAAGGCTGTCAGCGTTCACTAGGGAGGGCTGTCCGCATCCAGTTGGCTGGAGGCATCCGCATCACAGACTGAATCACTATCATCCAACAGAACTATTCTCAATTGACAGAGGAAACCGCACCCAAAAGAGTCAGTCCCTTTCCCCCTTACAACAGCTTGCCCCCCCCTCCCCTTCATCCAACAGCTCACCCCCTCCCCCCCCTCATCCAACGTCTCACCCCCTCCCCCCTCATCCAACAGCTCACCCCCTCCCCCCTTCATCCAACAGGCCTGAACATTCATATCGAAAAGGTCAGGCTGGCCCAGAGTCCAAGGGGCCAGGGATGTCACATGCAACAGGTCGGATCGTCCGTGTTGAGGTCCTACACATCCCCGGATTCATCCCCGGATTCATCCCCGGATTCATCCCCCATCCCCCGGATTCACATACTCTGTACAGGCCAATATCTGCTTCTCCCTTGTCGCTGACTTGCTCATTGTTTCCTGCGCCTGCGTGAACATTGCTACACATTCGACGCTGCAAATTGGAATGCGATATAAAAATTCATTATCTGAGCAGCACAGCATCAGAAACAAATAACGAAGCGAGGTCTGCGCGCTCAAAAAGCTACAACTATTTTCATTTTTCTGTCTCATTGTGACTTTGATGACAGGAGAGGCGGTGTGCGCGCCGGGCCGCGTGCCACGGGAGCCTCCTCTCGTCCTCCACCTTACTACCCGGTTGGGACGAGTCGTCTCAAAATATTGGCTTTTGTTGTGTCTTTCTCTCTCTCCCTCTACCTCCATCCCTCCCTCCTTCCCTTCCCCTGGGGTCTCACACCCCAACTTCACCCCCCCCCCTTCCCCCAGCATTTTCCAGGACAGCTGAGGCCAACACCTTCGGTACTCTTAGTTTCTCGACACGTTTCTCGAAAATCAGGTACTCTGGTCGACACGGTACTCTGGTCGACACGGTACTCTGGTCGACACAGTACCCTGGTCGACACAGTACACTGGTCGACACAGTTCCCTGGTCGACACGGTGCCCTGGTCGACACAGTAACCTGGTCGACAGGTCGATTGAGTTGGACAAACTGGAAAACTATTTTTTACTTATGTTACAAAGACAAACTAACCTAACCTAACCTTCCTAAGCCTAATACACGCTATCTGAGACCTTATATAGCACATATATGTGTTATACAAGGCCTAGGAATATTTAACTTTATTTTTTAGCCTATTTTTTCGGACTCTATTAAGTGAATAGTACAAAATTCAACAATCTAATTGCTTAGTAAGTCAATATTTGTACTATGGTGCACACAGTTACAAAAACTACTATCTAAGCCAGGAGAATAGGTTGACAGACACACTTACGAATGACGACAATTCATTATATACAATATTAAATGCAACTGTGATCAGCTTACTGTTCCTCGCCTACTTAAACAAATGTCACTATCATATTAGTTGCTACGCCATTAAACACCCCCAGTACAGATGTTACAATACCGGAAACGTTCTCGCATGTTAACAGAACTGATAGGAATGGTGTGTGGAGGGGGGGGGCGGTTGATACTTGTTAGAGTACCTGATGTGCAGCCTCCGAGAGCAGCTCAAATGAGAGGTTCAAACACGAACTATAGGTAGAAGTGAGTGAGAGGAGGCGGGGGGGGGGGGTAGTGGTTCTGGGCGGACATAAACCTCATCAGTTCCTTTATTTCAGAGTTGTGGGTTGGGTGTCTTAATTGTCAATCCCGTTTTTGCGACGTCCTGTCTGCAGGAAGCTTAGATCTGCTCGAGGGGCAACATAAGAATAAAGGTAACTGCAGAAGGCCTATTGGGCCATACGAGGCAGCTCCTATTTATAACCAGCTAATGCCACTCATATACATGTCCAACCCACGCTTGATACAATCAAGGGACCTCAGACACTCAAGCTACACTCAACTTACACTCCCAATACATTATTCAAAACCCAAAATAATATTGCAGGAAGGCATACATATATGTATATCCACATCTAATAACATGCTTATTAAAACTATATAGACTTTCGCCAGCCACTCGTCGGAAGACTGTAAGCTCTGCCCAGCTTTCAGAAAGACTTACATTGTGTCAACAAGCCGGACAACTCGTCTGCTTCCATCACTAACTCTTCATTTTCCATTCCAACAAAATTCTTTCAAACTGTACTCTATTCTAAATCTCCGCCCCCCCCCTCCCTGTTCGTACAGTACCCCCTTCCACCATGCCCCCTGCTCAGCGTACCCCTTCCTCAACCCTCCACCATGCCCCCTGCTCGCGTACCCCTTCCTCAACCCCCCACCATGCCCCCTGCTCGCGTACCCTTCCTCAACCCCCCACCATGCCCCCTGCTCGCGTACCCCTTCCTCAACCCTCCACCATGCCCCCTGCTCGCGTACCCTCTTGGGGACCTCATAAAAGTTCCGCCCAAGTAGTCTGAACAGACATTTTAAGAAATTTTAAACTCCATTAGTTGAGTTTCAAAGCAACTTTTGACAGTGGCAAAGTTAAGCAGTTAGAGATAGAGATGGATAGATAGACAGATTGGTAGGGATAGATAGAGGGAGAGAGGGAGCAGGAGGAGAAGTGAGAGGGGGAGAGAGATAACTTATCATACATTATTAATCACAGACGGTGTGTATAACAAGCTATAACAAGGGAAGGGGCATATAGGCGCCCATATGCATTATATTACTAATACAACTATACACTGATGATGTATAGGCACGATATTACAGTCATACACCGTGAGACTCAACCGAAGTATGATCACGGATGTATAACATTACACGAAATACACACAAGCCACTGTATATCTTGTGAATGTATATTAGATGTATGACATTTTACAATGTACAACCATACACTCTCAGATGGCGTACGACCGCAGATGTTCAGCTTCAGATATCATGAGATTTTTGTATTTATATATACAAGAGATGCATACGAGGAGTCACAATAACGTGGCTGAAATATGTTGACCAGACCACACACTAGAAAGTGAAGGGACGACGACGTTTCGGTCCGTCCTGGACCATTCTTAAGTCGATTGTCTCGAGATTGATTGAACGACGACGATTGAAACGTCGTCGTCCCTTCACTTTCTAGTGTGTGGTTTGGTCAATATATACAAGAGTTGTTGCATTCTTGTAAAGCCACAAGCATGTGTAGCGTTTTGGGGAGG